AAAAAATAATAATAGGAACTGATTCTACTCATGAAAATAATGATGCATCATAATCCTAAAGTCACAAAGAGCTTAACTGGCCCTTATCGATCAGGAATTGGTTAGAACTTTTTTGTTCCCGGTTTAAAAAAAATAAATAAACGACCAAATATTAAATATTAAAATTGAACTATGTTGAACAGTAATTTAAACATAAAAGCAGATTATGTTTTATACAATTTGTAAAAACTAATGAATTTTAAATTATCATATTAATTTATTAATATGAGTATTAATAATTTACTCAGATTTGAACGGAAAACAATCACAAATTCTTGTTACAAATCATTATTATTTTTTCGACAAAACGGTTAATGTTATGGCTTGGAATATAGAAGGATCCTTTTGTAATATTTTTTAACGATCTTTTAATCCTAAATGGGCATTTCTGTGATCGAAAATGAGCTGAATAATAAGAGTAATTTAAGTTTTTTGTAATGATTTTTTTTTTCGTAAGTGCAGCTTGTTGGGTGTTACAAGTATACCAAATTTGAAAAAAATCCCTAAACCGACAACTGTAAAGATATTTTTATAGAAAAACAAATTAAGGTACATGACAATTATTTGCATATCATAAATTTTTACGTTTAGGCAAATAATAAAAATGTAGATATACTTGTAACATCATGACATAGCACTCACTTATTTTTTGAACTAATCTGTATTTAAGCCATGCTTTAAAATAATATTTGCAAAGTAAACTAAATACAGCTAAATAAGCTAGAAATATGTGAATATTATTTAAACTGAACTTATAGGGTTTAAGGTTTTTCCATTATTTCGTAAAAGCACTATAGTCATTGTATTTTTGCAAATTCCATGATTTTTTTAAGGATCTAATTATTCTAAAAATGTTTATAGCCATTGTAACTACAGTATCTTCTCTGGCGTTGCGTGAATTTTGAATTTCTTTAACAAAACAAAAATTACTTTGGCAGCAAATTTTAGAAATATCGATTTGTGTTATATAAATATAGAATTGCTTGACCAAAATTGTACGTTACGTATTTTGTCATTTATCCAGAAAATAGTACCTACATGCAACAAGAAAAAAATTAGCTCGGACTTTATTGAGTAAAACTGAATACAATTTTAAATAACAGAAAAGTTGATATTGAATATTATTAAGTATGTATGCCCATACCCAGAATCGTGTATGTAGCAAATTTGTGACATGCACATATATTTGTACACTGTTAAAAACAGCATGTTTTTTAATTAAAAAAATATTTCCATAGCCATGAGTTTAATAGCTGCAATAATTATCAAAAAATGTGAAAAGAATACCAAGTTGGGATATGAATCAAGGTGTAACTTACAACAAAAGGATATACACGTCGTCAAAAAAAGAGGCAAATTATCACTCGATTTGATTCGATTAGATTATCGACAGATATATCCCTGTAGTAATCAATAATAATGTAAATTTTTATTACTGTAATTATGCGAAATAAATATGCGTTCCTGTAACTCATACATACTAAGCACACTGTTAGACCATATTACTTCTTTGTTGAAATCGTTAACCTTGAATGCATGGCTTTGATTGCCATTGTTAATAAATTAGATCTTAAGGTTGATGTCGACGCTGTGTTCACACAAGTTCATATGCTTTGCTTATTATATTTACTCAATTTCATGTGTACTTTGTTACATAATTAACGTCACTCACTTTAAAAACAAATCAGTAAAACTGTGCAAAATTTTAATCATGCAATAAATTATTAATTATAAATCTTTTTATACAACGAAATATGAACCTAATAAATACATCCAAAACTTTATAAGCCCATAAAATAGGAGATCTGAACCACATTTTTTTAATTTGATAAAATCTTTCCTCAGTTTGTTTATATCTGTCGTGTAGCAACTAATGCAGCTGCTTTAATTTTTGCTACATGACCAATATAAAGCGCAAGGCATTTTATCACAACACTTATGAAGACAAAACAAAAGCTAATCGGTAAATGCGTTAGTAAAATATCAGCAAGAAATACTTGTGAGGTGATAAATGAAAAACAATGTAAATGGTCATTATTGGTCACTTATTAGTTAGCTATGACAATGTTTAAATAAATAATCCAAACACTAAATAGGCGTTGTTTTCTATTATGCCAGTAATAACAAATACAATATGTAAATACACATTTAGATATATACGTAATATAAAATTTTGTAAAACACCTTTAGAAACAAATTATAATAAATAATTAAGGAAGGTATGGTTTTGTATACGTGGTCATCATGTATATGTGTGATAAATTGCGAATATATGAAGCTATAAATTTTATACTATTTAGGTTATTAAAGTTGATTGCGTAAATATAAAATAAAGATAGACAATCTAAAGGACACTAAAGTTTAAATCAAATTAATCTGCTTGATTGATATTAATAGAGAGGCAAATTATAATAAGACCACATTCGTAGAAAGATATCATTCACAAGCATTAGGAATTTGTGATTTTCCTGGATTGTATTTAAATACAAATTTTGTCCACTCAAGTATTTTAGTAAAATTTTGAATATATTTTTTTGATAGCGCAATAAATCAATAATTTCATAAGTATGTTTCTTATCTTCTGATACTCGAAGGCATTTTTTACGGATGTTTTCTATATCACTTAATCCGATATCCCATATGCTGTTTTCAAAAGCCGAAAGCATGAAAAAATTGAAAATAATTTATTATTTATTGTGGACCCTTTTCGAAAAATAAATTTCCATAGAAAAAAATAAATGTTCGATATTTATGGAACAATGTGTAATAAAATTGAACAATTTTACGAATCAAAAAGTACCTAATGGAACATATGTACAAGAACTGAAAATATTCTGTCATTTTGTTATTTTCTTTAAATTTCGCATTCCTTATGTCGCACTGAATAAAAACGTAGTTGTACCCTGAAGGGGCAGAAATCAGCTGTTTGCGTTACTGTATTTTTCAAAGAGCTAAATTTTAGTTTAATTTCTGTGGCGCAGAAATTTTATTTACTATATTCTGAATATGTGTTAGAGAACATTATGCAAGTAATAATTGCATTACGAAAAACAAATTCCTAAGTTTGCTAGCCAATATTAGAAATATTTTTGTAACCGGATGTGTGACGTATTTTTTTTAAATTGCAACACTCTGTGTATCGGTTTCATGAAAAATGATATATTAGTCGTAATGAATGTTATCTAAAAATCTGTTTCAAGTGGATGTATTTTTCCTTCTAAATCTTGTTTTTGTGTATTTTGTGGATTATACGGACTAAAAAGATAAAATAGAATACTGAATCTAGATTTTGATATGTCATATTAATTTATTAGTTTCCAGATTTGACAAATTTTAATTATGACTTAATTTTTGTGTAAACGTACTTAATTTTGAACGTTGACCGAGTTTTAATTTTTTGCTGATAGGTAATACTTATTTTTATATTTTGAAAACAAGCGACATACATTTCCAAAAAATCAGATGGTCAACGAGGTCATGTCATATATAAGTACATGAATTTAAATTGTATTCGATATAGTCAAGGTTGAGATTCGTCTTTGGGGTATACACAAACATTATAAACAACAGTTGCATTTAACAAATTCTTTACATGCTTGGGATGGTAATGATTGCTAGTTTTTTTACGAAATATTTAATTTAAAAAAATTCTAGATTCTTATTGATTTATTTGGCAGATTCAAATTAATTTTGTACCTATTTGAAAGGTGAAAGGCTTGACTTTTAATAACTTACTGATCATTTCTAACTGTCTCTTTGGTAGTTTATTATTAAAATAACTATTTCTCTTAGACATATTATACTTAATTAGAAAATAGCTCGAAACTCGGTTACCATGAAAAATTAATAGTATATTGTTTTTCTTTCTTAATTTTGAGGAATATTTAAACGTCACTGTATTTGATAAATCCGTATAAGCTTGCATCAGAAACACTAAAATGTATAGCAAATATATGAATATTGTACAATTTATGCCATGCTATTTATAATATATATATAGCATCAACTTTTACCTGCTGAGTTAATGAATACTCTAAACTATTACAAAATCTTAAAATAGACACTTTCTAGGATTACTAATTATCTTCCACTTCGTATAGCATTTACATTACAACAACCGTTAGTGGCTTTATTATTTTTCATATTTCCCTGAATTCTCTGCTTATTTCAGCGTTTACGGAACCATAAAAGAGGGTTATTATATTAATATTCAAATAATTATATTTTAAATTTGTGGTGATTTAACCTACTTTCTCGAAATACAAATTTGAAAGCAATTTGTGAACAAGCACCTTGTATTGTATATAGTAAATATAAAAAATAAGACTTTAAAAAGAGAATTTTATTACATCCAATTTATTTCAATTACATACGTATTCTGGATATATCTGGAATATTCCATCTTAATGGTTTACAATAGTAAATAGATACAAACATTTAACTTGAGTACCTAATTATATGTCCACCAGCTTAAATTTCGGATTACCACGAAAGTATTTACTACAACTACCATGTTTATTACCTGGAACCTACATAAAAGTAGATAACGATGGAAAAACAGCATTATTAGCTCTTTAAGGACGGCCTTTGTCTTTATGTCAAGTAAATAAACGACAATTTATTTCAAATTTATTTGGACGTATTTAATTATTACCAATTTCATCAAATATAAATGACTTCAAAAGTTTTTTTTTTATTTATTTATATAAATCTGATATTAATTAAAATTTTGGAGTACGCTATTATATTATTTAATATTTAAAAAAAAACGGAGAAATATTTAATTCTAATATTTATTGCTAATAACGAGTTTTCAGTATGTAATTGCCGTTACGTGAAATAAAAAAATATTGTGTGTTTAACAGATTGACGCTAAACGAGGCAATAAAATTACGAGTCTTTAGAAATGGATATACGGTGCGCTGGCGGCAGGAAGTTTGAAGAAGAGTGTGGATACTTACTTGAAACTGTTAGGGGTCTAAGCGCCGTGTCCGTTTAGACAGCGAGTTTCCTGAAACTACCGTCGCCGTCCTGGAGACAGACTCTTGGTGAACTTCGCGTCGTACAAGGCACCGGAGTAAATCACAGCGGAAAAATCACAGACACCTATGTTTATCGCGTTTAAAAATTTGAAACCCAGTTTGCAAATTGATACGGCTTACTTGGGGAAATCGTTAAAAATGAGGAAATCAATGAGCCGGTTGTAACTGGTTACTTTCGCGACAAAGTTTACCACATGCACTACGTCGAAGAGCTCGGTGGGTACTGACGGCAAAACCACTGGAGTGGTGGCTGAGGTGGACTGCAGATGCCTTTTCCTGGGACCAGCTTTTACAGAGGAGGTTCACGTGCTTTTGCTAGAGCGATTCTCTTAATGACGCTCTCATCGTCAGTCTGATGCCGTACGTCACAACTTTGATAACAGTCCATGATTTATGACACTTTTGTTTCATTTCGTTGATCTCATCGTAATTAAATTGTATCTGACTGTTTATTAAATACAGCCGTAACTATCTACCATGTACTCTGTATTTTTTCCTTTCCGAGTAATTTTTCGAATGGTCGCATATTACCCATTACGACTATAGGTACCTTTTTCTGTGAATTCTTCATATCTAAGGTGAGAATTTAAAATAGGATCTACACATTATTCCTTAGAGTTATATTTCTAAAAAGATTACGTGTTACATAAAATATTTTTTTTATTTGCGAAATGTAAATAATATGACAAAGTGTTCAACATCGAGTCACACTAAAATTGCAATGTAAGCAATATGAGTTTTAATGTCTAAAAAGTATGTAGGCGTCGGGAGTTTATGTTCTTTGCTTTCATTGAAATCTAATCCAGTCCAGGGACTCTTAATAATTTACACATTTTGTAGTACAACAAAAGTACGAAATTATAACACTTACTATTTTTTAATAGTATTTCCTATTTTGGACTACATGAGAAATATTCAAAGGCTTCAAAACTGTTAGATTTGCTCCAGTTTCTGTCATGTGATAACTGCACTAGAATGTGTTCCAGTCAAGAATATAAATATTTTGGATTGGCTGGTTGTCGGTCATTCCACAGCCAAGAAATGTTGTCATATCGCTCGTCCTTGGTTGGATTTGGTATTATGGTATAATAGTTTTGATATTCAACACTACCTCGTCCTACCAAAAAATTTTTGTGCACTTCATCGAGCGTATTGTGTCAAGTAATTTATTTGTGGCACAGTTTTGGTTTATTTATTGGGCATTTTGCCTACTTTGAAAGACAATAAAGAAAAAATAATGAAATAATCCTTGGGTCAGTCAAGGGTAACTTTTTATTGAACTACTTTTGCCTAACCAATCACATTGAAAAAAACAGACATATTTAAAATACACGTCAATATAATATATCGTGCACAATAAGTTGTTGACGTTTCGAAAATTAATCTGCTTTCAGCAATGACGTTTCATTTTGAAATTATTTTTGACATTCTTTAATTTGTTTCATGATGTCAGTTTAAATTTGTTGTTTTTGTCTGCTTGCGTAGCTGAATCGTATCATGTTTATTTTACTGTTACTTATTTATCAGTTCCAATATTTACAGGTCGAGAGATTTCTTTAACATAATTTTTATTGAATTCACAAGGTTTGCTAAAAGTGCCATTTTTTGAATTTTGGATATTATTTTGCGACAAAAAAGTCCGTAAAGTATGAGTTGACTGAAAAACTGTTGTAAATTAATGTTAAATATGTTACCTATTCTCCTTAATTTCCGATAATACAAGAAATACATGGAATTTTTATTATTAATGTTGTTTCCATTTGTTCTCTGACATAATTTGTTTTATATTCAATATTTTGTACTAGTAAACATTAATACCCTGGTAATACATATTATTGAAAGGTTTAAAGAATACTGAAATTAAAACAAATTATGCTACACAACAAAGGAAAATTTACATCCACAATAAAAATTCCATATATTTCTCCATTATCGGAAAAATTAAGAACAATAGGTAACATATTTAACATTAAATGCAAGGCATTATGTTGAAGAAACTCTGAATCTGTAGATATTAGAATGACACTAAAAAAACGTGAAGATGAGGAATAAAAGTTTTGCGACCACGTTTGGGAAAGCGATCATTATCGGTCAAAATTTTGAAGAAGGAAACAGAAAATTAAAGGTGACCGCCTATTAGAAACCGATTATTTTATTAAACTATGAAAGATGTGTTTTCAATTCCTATGAACTTGGAATCATTGGCTACAGACCAACTATTATATGATTCCTCTAGCTACGCAAACAGGTAAAAACAAACAAATTTTAATTGTTATCACAAAACAAATTAAAACTGTCAAAAATAATTATAAATCCAAACTTCAATGCTGAGTAGTGAAAAAGAAAACATTAGTTTCTGACTTGCTGAAGTAAATAATATTATGGTGATGTGTAATTTCTATTTATATGCTTTTATCCAGAGTGAGTATAATTATTTCCATAAACAGCATCCCTTGACTGATTCTCTTCGCGCAAATCTTTGTATCATAATTTTCTAAATTTTTTTTACACATGCCAAAATACTCAATTTTTAGGGCATCTTCCCAAGGCGCGAGATTCTGCTAGCATACTCGGACTCTATTGTATATGTAAACTGTAGCCTGTAGAAGTAGACTATAGATTATAGACTACAGGTTGTAGATTGTAGACTGTAAACTGTCAACTGTAAACTGTAATCCGCAAACTGTAAACCATAAACTGTAAACACTGCGAGTTATAACTATAAACTGTAAAATGCAAGCCGTTCACAGTAAAATATATACTATGAACTGTGAACTGTACTGTAGACTGTAGGCTGTAGACGGTAGTATAAGTTGCCAACTATAAGCAACAAGTTACAAACTCCAAACTTCACACTCCAAACTAGAAACTGCAAACTGTAAACTATAAATTGTAAACTATGAACTATGAACTATAAAGTATGAAGTATGAACTATGAACTATGAGCTAGAAACTAGAAACTAGAAACTAGAAACTATACACTGTAAACTGTAAACTGTAAACTATAAACTATAAACTATAAACTATAAACTATAAACTATAAACTATAAACTATAAACTATAAACTATAAACTATAAACTATAAACTATAAACTAAACTATAAACTGTAAACTGTAAACTGTAAACTATAAACTGTAAACTGTAAACTGTAAATTGTAAACTGTAAACTGTAAACTGTAGTTATAAACTATAAATTATAAACCATAAATAATTAAATTAAATCATCTACCATAAACCATAAATTTTAAACTGTAAACCATAACCGTAAACCGAAAACCCTAAACCATAGACCGTAAATTATAAACTACAAAATAAACTATAACCATTTAGTAGTACATTTTTCTTGTTAGTTATGTGTGTACCTTAAATGGGGACGCTTTGATTACTGAGCAATTTTATTATATGAACATTGAAAACGTCAGTCCAAAACGGGTAAGTGTTTAACCTTCACATATTTTTTAAAGTTCTACGAGTATGTAGGCATCTAATTGTTGCTTGCATATTGGAAAATTGTCTGACAAGTTCATGCGTCTGACTTGTAGTTGTGTGTGACTCATACACCAAAAATTTTTTTTAGTTCTTCAATTAATGCTAACAGTACGTTGATAAGAAATACACTTGCCTGTCTCGCAATAGCACGAGAACATTAAAATCCATTGAAAACGTTTAATTTTAGATGACTCAATTCTAACCAGTCGTGCACAAACAATGAAGCATAGACAGAATATAACGTTTTCCTATAATATTTTTTGATGGCCTCTAAACATTAAATTATTAAATTCTAGTGATGGATTAAGAGCTGAAGATTTTCCAAAGAGGTTTTTATACGGTATTTTCCGATTAAATTATAATAATGCATTTCTGTGTTGTCGTCAGGAAAAGATTTCGTTCCTTTAATTAAATGTCTTATCATTGATAGGCTATCAAGCATCTATAGACCTATAAAAAGAAAAATTGTAAATGACACAATGGGTTTACCAATCTTTATCGTATACAAGTATTTGTGTCATATTTGTGACCATAAAATTTTAATATTAGGCATACAAAATGTAAGAAATACAGTGAATTTTTCCTGGTAAATAATTAATGGAGATTAATATTTATTCGCAAGTCAAAATTTGCGTGAAGGAAGAATAAAAACTTATTTTCTGGATAACAAAGTTGTTACTGAAGATATTACCAAAAAAGCGACATGATTAATAACTAAGCATCGTTAGCAATTCTTTGTACAAGATAATAATAGCCTTTAGCAGTCTCTGTTAAGAGAATCAAATCTACTTTATGTGACCGGACTGGATTCACAATGCCGGGAAATTTAAACATAATTCTAAGTTTGGAAGAGGTTAGAGTCATTATGGAGTCGCAAGGTAGTATCCACAGAGAAGGTATTTGTTTTGTTACATAGACATGTTGACTATCTGTCCTCCCACTAAGAGAAACTTCGAAGGAAAAATTTCATCAATACTTCAGAAGGTGAAATGATAACGTGAAAGGATAATAAAGTTCTTCTATGCCAAACCACTATTAATATACACTACAATAGATTTCAGGAGGAGATGAAAAATCACAGTACTCTGGAGATAACCTCAGATGTATTTACTTATAAACCATTACCATTACACCGATATAGTGAGACCAATGTTGGCCCACGGAGCTGTTGTCTGGTGGACAAAAACCCAACAGGCAATAACTAAACAGAAGCTCAGTCAGGTGCAAAGAATAGCTTGTCTGAGCGTCACAGGAGCTATGCGAACAACACCAACGTTAGCAATGAAGGTCAGGCTATGTCAGAATCCAGAATTATAAACCACTCTTCAATATTTTCCTTCCCGAGACACATAAATGGGATTGCAATAGAATCGACCTGAAAGGAGCTGTTAGTACAAGAAAGACTCCATACACGTTCATCGTAGACAATTTTGGCCCTTACAACAATTTTATAGGACGTGTAAAATCCTCAAGGATGAATGACTTGTATGGGGTCGCTGTTGTGTAAGCATTAACACATTTCTAAAAATATCCTGCTTGTCCTCAAACTCTTTTGGATGTTTTCCAAAATCCCAACACCCTTCCAGTTCCAGTGTTATAATACTAAGCAGAATTTCATAATTTAAAATAGCTATAAATATAATACACTATAATCCAATATCGGAACAGAAAATTTTATGATGTGAACTCATTGAATAGATTTTATTATCATTTGCTAAGCAGTTTTTGATATAATTACGAGAATAATTATAAATGTGTCTAAGCTACCTAAGTGATATTAAATAATATAATAATTTTTTTACAAGGCAATTGCA